AAATGAATAAAGGCTGATAGTTTCGAAAGAAACTGTTTGGGGCTGCGTCGGTGGGAGTAACGAAATAATTTGGATATATCAGCAAAGTTGTAAATGGTAACTTGGCCACCGTAACGATTACAAAAGCTGACGTCTCGCTCCGACGAAGGGCTAACGCTCGAAACGTCAGCTTTTGTAATCGTTACGGTGGCCAATTTACCATTTCAACTTTGTTGATATATCCAAATTATAGAAGTTATACATATTGCTTAAGCATTTGAATAACAAGACATTATTATACGACTGGGGCAGTCAGAGGGCCAATAACTAAAATCAACCAATCAAAATGCTCTATTGCCGGTTCTCTCGGTATTGAACCGGGCAATGTCCCGAATGGTCCAGATTGATACCGCACTTGTGTCCCTTTGAACTTCAGTCCTATAATAAATCTCTTATTAACCAAGCTTGCTCGGGACCCTACTGGAAGAATATCGGCCATCGGTCTTTTTTGTACGGACCAAGCGCAGCGAGGTCCGTACTGTCAAGACCTCGGGCCGATATTCTCCCAGGACGGCCCTCGCGCTTGGTTAATAAGATATATATATATTCCTTTTATTTCTTATTTAAAAAAACACGCTATGTATCTGGTAGAAATACTTGTGATAAACAGAAATATGTCGTTGCCATCGGCGAAAAAGGTATCTGTTCGACCTATGATCTTTCCGTTGAATTCTAAATTGTTTTAGTCACCGATCAAGCAATTTTAAAAAGACCACGGGCTCTTACAGTGAGCTAGTAACATTTGGAAAAGAAACATTTTCTTATAGAGATCTTGAAATGGACTATAAGTATAACAAGGGTTTCATGAAGTGGCAGCAATGTCTATCTATGGTGGGACATCACTTACATTCACTATTAAGAAAGATGTTGTTAAATATACAAACATCAGGTTATTACGCCATATTACCAAGTAAACTTTCATTCAAAGCTGTTGCTAGTAGTAGTTAATACTGGAAACTTAGTGCAAAACTATCAATAAAGAAGTTCTCCAGAATATTGTTTGTGAATTTCATGATCTTGTAGTGGAATATTTGAAATTTCCTCACAAGTGCGGGCAAATAATGTGACGTTTTAGATTTAAAAACGCGGTAAGGGAAGAAAAATAGCAAAAGGACAAACAAAGAAGCAAACCTTGACGAAATGACAGACTTAATTGCATGGAGAGGGGAGGGTGGGGGCGAAGGGGGTTCCCTATATTTGGAGACACCTCGCTAGGTTAAAACTAGTCAAACGTCATAAATAATCGATGGGTTTTTCCATCGACATTATTAGGAAATGTTGGTTTTTTTCTCTATGAAAAACATATGCGTCTCTCAAAAAAAGAGTTAAGTAGACGACATTCTTGCAATTCTTGTACTGGAATCGCGTGGACTTACATGAAATACAGACGTAAAATTCTTGCTACTAAAAGTGTTTTCGTAACAAGGAAGAAACTATGTTTTGGTTGAAATTAATTGTAACCTTCCTTCAACGACTTTTTTCTTTTTCCCTTTTTATTTTAAATTCTGCACATCTTATGTTCTTGACTTCCTTTCTAAATGTGGTGAATTACTTTCAAATGAGTCACTGTATGCTGAGTTAGTTTAGTCAATTTATTTCTTTCTGAAAGGAAGTTACAACTCATCTCTTCCCTCCTACCACCCAACCTTGTCTGTGAGAAAAAATGGGGGGAGGGTTTATAGAATTAAAACATACATTTGTGATGACAACAAAGATGTGGAAAATGACTTGCACATGAGCGAGACAGACACTTTACCCTGTGGAAATCTAAGCCCATTACAAAATAACTGAGAACTGTAATGCTTCACAGATGTTATATCAGGAATAAATTTCAAATATTAAAATCTTAGTATGGAGTTCCAAATCAGGAAAAGTAAGTTACCATGACGGTAAGCTTTCATAGCCTATGGCTGACTCATTTATCGGAAGCATTAAATTCAAGTTGGGCATACCATCAATTCCCGAGGATAGTGTATCACGGAGTTTTTCTCACCTTTTATTACCTATGTCGTTACGCTTATTTCTACAAGTTCTTATCACGAGCTTGAACCAGACTTGGGATATTGCGTCGCAAAAAAAAGGGCTAAATCTTAGTTTATTATTGACTGCATTAAAAACATCTGATGTTGGATTAAAATGTGATTACTTTTGCCACGCGTTGAAAGATGAAAATTGTCGCGAGATTATATTGATTATTTACAAGAAGTGCCTCAAACTGTCTTTGACAAAATAATACAACCGGGTTGGGATCGTATTTTATAACACTAGTGGCGTTAAACGGGATTATACAGCTGTCAAATTCTTCTCTTCTAATACATTTTTATTATTTTTTTTAATCGTTTTCCATACCCAGATTCGGATATTGATCCAAACCGTGATTCGAGATGAAATAATTTAGAAAGAAACGTTTGTGAACTTAAGTTGATGGCCTTCTGGCATGCAAGGTTGTTCTTATTTCACATAGCCAATGATTTATTTGTCCACAAAACTTGCAAAATTGCGTAAGAACTTAATAGAAAACTATGAATTAAAAGGCAACAGCCTATGGCAAGTGGAAACTTCATGCGAAAGAGTCGTTTCAAGAGGCAAAAAAGAAAAAAAAACGCCTCTTTTCATGAATTCGTGTACACTTCATTATTATAACGTTCGTGACGAATATTCTAAAATCAATATATCATTTTTTTCTTTATTGGCGATAAAAAAAAGTTCGGAGAAGTTCCAAAAAAAACATTTTTGGCACCTAGTTCACATTGCGTGACGTTCCAGAACTTTTTCTTTATTGAATGTTTAAATAATCACTCTGAAATAACAGTCTTCACCCCCAAATGCCAAGTGAATGGGAAAACAAAAAACCCGGTAGTCTTTTAATGTGTTTTTATTTAAGGAGTTTGTAAAATTATGAAATTGTTTTGACATACAATACAAAAGGCTTACTTTAGTCAAAATCTCCCATCCTTAAGACTTTACTTCCCCGAGGGAAGTTAATGAGTGACAGTACAAATAATCATCATAACAATTAGTATCTCTAGATTTTTCTTCTCTTCTGTTTTCATCGTTCTTTCATTTCGTTTCGATTAATGTTTCAGAGAAATTTCTCTTTCAAAAATCTACAAAACAAGAGGCTTGTAATGGGCATTTTTCATGCACTAATGACGTTTGAAGAAAGTAGTAAACAGGAGCAGTTAAGAAACTTATTATCCCGCCAAATTTTAATTAATAATAAATGACGGTAGAAATGAAACTTAGACGTTTTGGCTCTAGAAGAGCCTAGCAGTGCCAGAGATGGGAAACTGATTGTTGCTGTATTTATCTCACTTTACTGAAAAGATTTTTGTAAAGCGCACCACTCTGATGGTGGGTTAAAAACGCTTTATTTTTTGACTAGAATCTGAAGATGGCCCGCCGTCGCTGCCCGATGCTCTCTTTCATATTTATTCTTTTTTTGTTTGGAGGCTGGTGCTACACCTTAACAGTTGCAAACCATGGTAAGTTAACTTTGAAATTCTTTTGTGTGGGTTGGATGAAAATGTAGACTATGGGAACTCCTGAAGTAATACAAACCTGGAGTTACAGGAAAGCAAGGGCCCGAAGAATAGGGACGAAAAATTATGCACTTTTCGAGGGTTTGAAAATCCTAATTTACCACATCGAGAGGGCTCTGAAGTAAAAACTGACATGACCATCTCGGAAAAGCTTCAGTGCAAAGAAATTTAGTATTTTGTCAACAAGAGTAGCTATTAAAAATGAGGAAGAAGGAAACTACCGTGACGATTTCACAAAGTGCTTAAAAATTTAGAAACTTTCTAGACCAGTTGAAACATAATCGATGGTGTGTGTGTGAAATTCATTCGGGGCATTTTGGTTCTAACTTTTCGGCGGCGTTTCCTAAGTTTCAAATTTTTACAAGAATTTATTCAGATCAATTTCATCGTTAAACAATCATAAATACGTAATAAAAGCTATCTTTCGGAAGGGAAAGAAATACTTTTGCAATAATGGATGGCAATGAATAGGAGACACTCAGATCTTTGTAACTTGATGAGAGAAAATCAAATGGAGGAATTTTGTTGAAAGGTTTTTGTTGCTCAAGAGTTATATTTTGCAATTTCTATTAAAGTCTCTAAACCCTTTAGACTCGTAAAAACGAATCAAGATGTTAGCTATAACAAACGTAATGAGTATGAAAACTTTGAGAACCACTTCATATCGTCGTAGCTTTTAACTAACTACAGGTGGTTTAAGAGCGTTTAAATTCAGCTCTTTCTCTATGCATCAAAATAACAGAGTATTCATTGAAATCATATGAAGAAGAAACAAAGATATCTCTAAAAATGCGGAAAATAAGGAAAAACGTCTCGATTCTCATGGTTTCTAATGGAAACAACTACTCATGGTTTTTGATCAATGAGCAAAAGCACTAGTGATATCTTCCTTCATTTACGCTTGGATCTTCAACTTTCGAGAGAACGAGGTCATTATCAAGCGAGTATGAAAATTCTTTTTTCTCCGTTATCGTTTCCTTCATTTGAGAAATACCCTATATCTAAGCAATATCTTTGCTTGCTGAAACTTCAGGCACGTGTTTCGAACAGACTATACATTGAAAATTTTAAAATGGGATTTAGTCCACAGCGAAAAATTATATTGCAAACAGAAACTTAATCAGTTGTACTGTAGAGATGTTTATCTCCGTATTATGCCCCCTGGGTGGTATTGCGAAAGCTTAGACGCACTATGTTGATATGCTATTAACTACTTAGCGTGCCAAAGGAGACAAAAGAACTCCTGCAGGGTTAGGTAGGCCCGTGAGCGGTCCTTCAGAAAGAAAAAAATTGACTAAACTAACTCAGCATACAGTGACTCATTTGAAAGTAATTCACCATATTTAGAAAGGACGTCAAGAACATAAGATGTGCGGAATTTAAAATAAAAAGGGAAAAAGAAAAAAATCGTTGAAGGAAGGTTACAATTAATTTCAACCAAAATATAGTTTCTTTCTTGTTACGAAAACACTTTTAGTAGCAAGAATTTTACGTCTGTATTTCATGTAAGTCCACGCGATTCCAGTACAAGAATTGCAAGAATCTCATCTACTTAACTCTTTTTTTCAGAGACGCATATGTTTTTCATAGAGAAAAAAACCAACATTTCCTAATAACGTCGATGGAAAACCTCATCGATTATTTATGACTTTTGACTAGTTTTAAGCAGACACCTGATAAAAATGGGTGAACATTTCTAACATTTCGTTTTTCCTCAATTAATGCCATCTGAATTATCTTTATACCCTCAGAACATCAAGAAAATAATAGAAAAATTGCCTTTTCGTCCTCCGTTCGACAGCCTCTCTTGGAGCAGAGGAACCTTAGGTGCAATCTATGCAATAGCTTACGAACAGAACATTCCAACATTTCTTGAACTGAATTACCCTGTAAAGGAGACTAGGCAGGGAAAAAATGATTTACAGTCGATGTGGAATAATTATTTGTTATTCCTTAAATATCTGTATATAACAAATAAAATAAAGAAGTCTTGAACAATGGGCCATTAATGATTTACTCAGTGCGAGAACTACAGAAGCAGTTATGTTTAGTAAGCCAAAAAGTGAGCGATGAATGATGATGATGATAATGATGACTTTATTTAAACTCCGATGAAAATGAGGCTTGTTAGTCCTCTAGAAATAGAGATCGCTAATATACCTAGAAAAATATATGAATATAAATTACAGAGTTTAAAAATAATATAAGCCTAAATATAAATGATGATATAAATGATGGGGATATAAAATTGCAAATTACTTAGATTTCTTATCTCATTCCTGAAAGGGCCAAATCCTGCCATTAATCTTAGCTTATCAGGTAATGCATTGCAACCCTTAGCAGCAATGTAAGAAGTCGATTTGAGGCCGTAAGTTGTGGTCTTAGCTACAGGTAAAACAAGTTTGTTTTTGCCCGTAAGATTTTTCTTATTTTCTCTTACTTGAAATAAGGATTGAATATACTGAGGCATATTGTTATAGAGGGCCTTAAAAATGATTAAAAGCATATCTTGTTTCCCTCTACAACTTAATGAGTAACCAGTCTTTCCATGAGAATAAAATTAACAAATCGACAGTAGTTTAACGTGGTCTCTTCTCTTACCGTGACAACGATAGTCGTCATCACAGGGCCCAAAATGTTGTGGATTCGTTCGGTGACCGAAACTTTACATGACACGTTGACGAGAGCAGCGTTGTCTGTACTCTTATCAACAACGGCAAAGTGGTCAATCAGATTGCGAAATTGCCGCTAGTTTAAGTAAAACTCAGTACCTAATATTCCTATGAACTTATCTTTCCCTTCAAGGGCTAACATCTTTCCACTTGGGTATGTTTGAAGTTGGAAAAATCGTTCAATATCAAGAAAATGGGAATTAATATTGCTTGTTTGTTTGTTTGTTTGTTTTTTTTTTCCGTAAGCTTGTCACCATTACTTTAGCTCAAGTCAGTAAAATGACTAGGGTTACGTTTGTCACAAATAGTTCTATTCAGCAAATACAGGCTGTTTTCTGTGGCTGTTTAAATTTGGTTTGCAAAAACAAAATGTAAAGGAAATTTCAATTTAGGAAAGAATTTCTTACACATTTTTCCTTTGTTCAAATCTAGTTGAGGAAGGTTACAATGAATGAGGTATGAGGTCATAAGTAGCGCAAAAGGAGATGATTTTCTAAACTTCTATGTACCTTGACCTTATTCTTTACATTTATTGTTTTGATTTTCAACTTGGGATAAAGTTTCAGAGATCATTAAAGTAAGCACATTTTGGGGCATAACATCATACATTATTCACTATCTTTATAGCAGAAATTCAAATTTTGACCATTTAATAGTTAATTAAAGTGCATGGTGAAATATTCACAGAAATGAATATAACATTTCGGGGTACTAAAATATTTTTAGAAAGCTCCCTTAGCTTAGCTTGTCGAAAGCTTTTTCTTCTCCACTATTTTTTCTGTTCCCTACCACCCACGTTCGTTTTCAAAACATTCTACTTTTATAATTTGCGGTGAAAACAATAGCAATTATAAAAGTTTTAAATTAGAAAGAAAAATGATTGTTTATCTTAGCTTCTGCAAAGTCTTTTTTTATCTTCTTTTTCCTGAGTTACATCAACTCAAATTCGTTTTTCGTCGAAAACGTTTTACGTTTTGAAACATTTAATCCACAAAAAAAGAACGCATGAAAACACATATGAAAACGGAAACGAAATAAAAAATTGCAACCGTTACTTTGAATTTTTTTTCCTCAAAAGATATAACCTCTTGTACCGGCATATTGCGGAATTGTCACAATTCTATTTTGCTGGTGTTAACGGGAAAAAGAATGCTGCAGAAGGGTTACAAAATAAATAGTCTCGCCCCTAAGTGGTTCAGTATATTCCGACCGAAGATTAACCATTGGAAGACGATACGATAAACCATCAAATTCATTGAGCAGATGGATTTCAAAATCCGAGTTAATAGAAGTTTTAGCCCATCAATTGATAGCCATGAAAATGTTCAAATCCCTAAGACCAAACAGGTTTCTCTAAATAATGGTTTTATTAAACATTACTTAATCATATTCTATTCTAGACCTGTGCTTTTTTTGAGATATTTTTTTCTCGTCAACCTACGCGAGACCTTTTGGAGCCTAACAAAAACTTTCCTCTAATGTCTGATTTATAGATAGCTGTCGGCGTCTCAAGTTCTTGCAACAGAAAGATGGATATGGATTGGTGGGCCACGTATTTAAAAACATTTTATCACCAGTCGGAATGAATATATATAGTCACTGCAGAAATTGGTGTACTATGGAAGACAGATGTAAATCGATCAACATGGGACCCTCAGGAGAAAAAGATGAAGTTTTGTGTCAATTGAGTGACTCGGACCACTTGCAACACCCAAACGATCTGAAAACGATGGCAGGTTTCATGTATAGGGGCACGCAGGTAAGAGTTTTATTTTTATCTTATTTCAATTTTTGTTTAGGAGTTTGCTGCTGTTTGTAAGCCTTGTATACCTTTTAATAGAGTTTCCTCGCTCTTCTGTGAGTCTTCGGCAACTCAGTAGAAGCAATTTTATCTCAAAACCTTTTTAAGTCAAGCCTGAGAACACCTGAATCGGCTAAAAATGAAAAAGAGATGAATTAATTTTAAAAATAAAGTTCTTGTATAACAAGCGTTCTGATTGGTTGACAAAGCATGTCAGAGTATCAAGAAGCTTCTCCCCCTTCACTTCTTTTGTTCTCTAGCCGCTAACGTCGTCCTTTACAACAGAACAGAGCAAAGTCGAGGCGTTTTTATTTGTTACACAAAAATGAAAAACTCCAAGCATGCCCCTTATGAATAAAAAGTATAAATCGCTCGCATGAATAGCATCTCCGTTATTTTATGAAAAAAAAAGGCTCAATATTTTTCCCCATTAGAACAAGTGTTGTTTCAACATGTGCTACAACAATGCAACTTGCTTGGTTGGATTTACGGACAAGGGATACAAGTGTGTGTGTCCACCTGGTTACATGGGAGACCACTGTGAAAAAGGCAAGAGTTGCTTTGCACGTGCGCTCTAATAATCATGTTAGCTACTACAATTATGCGTCTCTTTTGCATCCATTTTACCATGATCTTGTATGCTTCGACATGCGTTCTGATGATTTACGAGTCATTTATTATCCAACTGTGCTTCTTAGAGTACAAATAACGCTCAAGACAGGTTTTCTCCCATTGCGCAAGCGACGAATTGGATTCAGGTTACAAACAAAAATGATGAAAAATTCAAGTTATCCTTCTAACGATGAAGAGTTGGAATGGCTGGCAAATATTGATCCAGTTTTATTAGATAAAGGAAAGGAATAAAAGCAGTTAGACGACATTGAAATTTCATCATCAATTGAAGAAAACAGAAACACCAACACGACAACGCGCTGATAGCGTTCCGCTTTGCACTCCCGGTAAATAGATATCCGCGAAATTCACCCGCACTGAATACACAATTTGGCGCGTTGGATAATAAATCTCTTATTAAATGTTTTGGTGCGTAGTTGTTTGTATTTTAACTTGCCCTACGTTTTCGTCAAAATACTGCACACCTCGTAAAAATACTCAACGATAATACCCAACAAAACTTTTATTAGGATCTATGTATCACACTTTGTATCCGTTCCCCCTGAAAACCACGTGATCCTTCCAATCTCCCTTCCCCCTCTGATAAAAAATGACTGCTCCCCAAACATCATTCCACGTGATGCACTTTCAGTGAGCTTTCAGTCCTGTCGAATACCACAGGCCATCCAATTAGAACATACCTGCAAAAGCTTTTCTCGACTCTTTTAAAATTTAATAATTTTGTTTGTACAGATGTAAACGAGTGTTCCACCAAAACCCACAACTGTGATGTCAATGCTGAGTGCAAAAATACCGAAGGTTCTTTTAACTGCAGCTGCAAGGTTGGGTTTAATGGCGATGGCAAAAAATGCACAGGTAACTATGAAATCTGTCCAAATGAATTGCTCCAAGCATAGAAAACAGTTGGTTTATATTTGCCTAAATTTGACGAGCGTATCAAGAACATCAACGATTTTCATGAGAAAGCTGTTTATAGTAATGTACTGAGGAATCAGAGTCGGCTGCTAATGTGTTATTTATCAAGCTTTTCATCCATCGCAGTGTTCATTTTATTACGTGTTTCGTGTCTAGGGTGCTACTACTGTTATGGAGAGCATGGTGTTACATAGTTGCTCAAAATAGAATCGAGGAAGTTTCTAGAACGTTTAGTCATGCTGACTCATCAAGAAATTTTAATGCAACTTTCTAGAACAGTTAGCCAGCATATTTTCGCCATGAGTAGTGTAATGTTACTAAAAATAGCATTATTACAGATCTCTAGAACGTTCTGGAACTTTTTTTAAAAGATACGTACATACGTACTGACATACATTTTATTGAACACATCCCCATCTGGGGCTTTTCAGTCAACAATTACATAATTCATATACTTGATACTATACATACAAAAAGATATATAAGGAGTCGCGATAGGTTAAAGTTAGAGACCTTTTCCAGTGAGTTAGTGTTGCTACTTGGAGCCCACAGGAGCGAGAGCCGGATAGAGTTGTTATAATTATTTACTGGAATCGTCAGCCGTCTGGAAGGCTGCCTTAGAAAAGGGTTGTGGATATTGATAAGCGAAAAGGATCTTTAAAGAGAACCGTGAGTTGTGCAGTAGTGTACTGAGATTGAAATTATGGTATTTATGGAGGGATTTAAGTTAAGAGGATAGTTATTGTATTAGTTATTGGTATCGCTCCATAGTTAGTACGTCAGTCAATAAAGTAGTTGAGTTAGTACGAGTTATATCTTTCTGGCGGTTGAGAAAATACCGTAACTCTACCTGTCATCAAATGATTTACGAGTCGTCGACGGACGACAAATTGTGTTCTTTTAGTTTTAGTTGCATTACATTATTTTTGTGTGGAGTTAAGTCAAGTTTACAATTTCTTTTTAACCACAGTTACATTTTCATTCTGTAAGCATTGCTAGCACCACATCATGCACGTCTCGCGCCCTTTTCTGTCTTAGAAGACGCGTGTCCTTTCTTGATGATGTATGTGCCTGTTAATTTTATTTAAGATTGTTTACCTGTGGATTGGTCGTTTTCGTGTAAATTAAATTATAAAGATTACTTGACGCAGGCGCTTTCAATGATATTTGACACCCACCAAAAATGACAGTTTTACCTGTCGCTTATAATTTGACTCGCCTTTCGGGCTTGTCAAAATACGGCACAACTCGTAAAAATACTCAGCGATACTAGACAACAAAAAGTCAATTATGATATATATATCACACTTTGAAGCCGCTCCCTTTAAATACCATGCGATCCTCCCAACCCCCTCCCTTCGATAAAAAATAAGTGGCCCCAAAACATCATTGCACGTGGTGCACTTTCAGTGAGCTTTCAGTCCTGTTGAGTATCGGAGGTCTTCCAATCAGAACATACCTGTAAAAGCTTATATCATTTTTTTTTAAATTTCATTATTAACGGAAATAATTTATTCCTGCAGATGTAGACGAGTGTACCAACAATACCCACAACTGCGGCGTTAATGCTAAGTGCAACAATACCGAAGGTTCTTTCGACTGCAGCTGCAAGGTTGGGTTTAATGGCGATGGCAAAAAATGCACAGGTAACTATGAAATGCGTCCACCTATTCCAGGCATCGAAATCAGTTTGTTTATATTTGCCTAAACTTGGCGAGCGTATCAACAGCATCGACGATTTTCGTAAGAAAGCTGTTTATTGTAATGTAGAGATATGAGTCGGCTGCAAATGTGTCATTTATCACGCTTTGCATCCATCGCAGTGTTCATTTCAGAACGCATTTCGTGTCTAGGGTGCTACTACTGTTATGGAGAGCGTGGTGTTACATAGTTGCTAAAAATAGAATCGAGGAAGTTTTTGAGAACACTTAGTCATGTTGACTCATTAAGAACTTTTAATGGAACTTTCTAGAACAGTTAGCCAGCATATTTTCGTTATGATGTAATAGTAGTGTAATGTTACTAAAAAATAGCAGTATTACAGATCTCTAGAACATTCTGGAACTTTTTTAAAAGATACATACATACATATGTATGTCTGTAGGCTTATAGGTATCTTTTAAAATCCCCTTATGAGTGAGAAACCACGAAACAGGTCTGTAGGGATGTATATGTAGTTATTTTTTTCTGCCTATTACACATTATACCCGCTCTACTATTTGTATCGAGCACTGTTTCACCGACACCAAGTTTATTCTCTCTACATACATACATACATACATTCATACATACATACATACATACATACATACATACATACATACATACGTNGCATATCCCCCCCATAAAAAATAAGTGGCCCCAAGACATCATTGCACGTGGTGCACTTTCAGTGAGCTTTCAGTCCTGTTGAGTATCGCAGGTCGTCCAATCAGAACATACCTGTAAAAGCTCATGTAATTTTCTTTTTTAATTTCATTATTAACGGAAATAATTTGTTCCTACAGATGTAGACGAGTGTACTACCAATACGCACAATTGCAACGTTAATGCCAAGTGCAACAATACCGAAGGTTCTTTCAACTGCAGCTGCAAAGTTGGGTTTAATGGCGATGGCAAAAAATGCACAGGTAACAATGAAATGTGTCCACCTGTTCCAAGCATCGAAATCAGTTTGTTTATATTTGCCTAAACTTGACGAGCGTATCAAGAACATCGACGATTTTCATCAGAAAGCTGTGTATGGCAATGTAGAGGGATCAGTCGGCTGCCAATGTGTCATTTTTCAAACCGGCTCATCTTTCAAACCGGCAGTTTATCACGCCGGTTATTTATCACGCTTTGCATCCATCTCATTGCATCCATCGCATCACGCTTTGCATCCATCGCAGTGTTCATTTTATCACGCGTTTCATGTTTCGAATGCTACCACCTGTCATCAAACGATTTTACAAGTGGTGGAAAACAAATTGTGTTGGTTCAGTTTAGGTTGTATTACACTATTTGTGTCTGGAGTTTAGTCAAGTTTACAATGTTTTTAAGCACAGTTATATTTTCATTCTACAATCAATCTTAGCATCACGTCACGCACGTCTCGCGTCCTCTTTTCCATTAACAGACCCGTGTCCATCTTGATGTGTCTGTTAATTAATTTTATTTCAGCTTGTTTACTTTTGGATTGGTGGTAATGCCAATTAAATGATAAACATTATTTGACGTGGCGCTTTCAGTAATATTTCAATATTGTAGAATTTGGCATGTCACAGGTTAAAAACGATCAGACGAATTCTTAAATATGCTTTTATGATTTGTCATTATTTTTTTTGAGCGGAAAGCATATGTTTCTTCAGATATAAACGAATGTGCCACCGATGCCCACAACTGTAGTGTCCATGCTCACTGTAATAATATCGAAGGTTCCTTCAACTGCAGTTGCAAAGAAGGGTTTAATGGCGATGGCAAGAACTGTACAGGCAACCATGACATTCGTCTATCTAAAGTTTACCCAACATAGAACACAGTAGATTCATAATCCATGTTTGTTTGTATAACCCTAAACATGACGAGAGCTTGTCCTTTGCTCTCCAAGCACCGTGTATCCATATCACGATAATTTGCAATAACACAGACGGGTCCTACCTATGTGAATGGAAAACCGAGTTTCATTTCAGCAAGTGTGAAAAATGATCAGCTCTTTCATTGGAGAAAGTCCTATCCATAATTGAATTATTTAAAAGGAATGAATCAATAATTCAGTGTAATGTAAGCGTAATGAGTAGTATGTCGCTCGCACCAATCAGATTGCCGCATTTTTCATGTGTCACAAACCAATCATATTGTTGTAGTGTTGACCTTTTTCATACGGTATTACAGAGAAAAACAACTCGCATTGCGGTGTTGCGGTGGTCTCAAGTCTTATAGTGTACGATAAATGTAATATCAAACCGACGGTTTTCGGTGATATAAACCTTTTGCGAGTTGCAGTTTATTCTTTAACTCTTTCAAAGCTAGATTTTGATAAAAGCTGATAGTTTCGAAAGAAACTGTTTGGGGCTGCGTCGGTGGGAGTAACGGAATAATTTGGATATATCAACAAAGTTGAAATGGTAAATTGGCCACCGTAACGATTACAAAAGCTGACGTTTCGAGCGTTAGCCCTTCGTCGGAGCGAATAGAGGAATTGTGGGTTGTGTGTGCTTTT